CTTGTGCACCTCCAGCCTGCTCAGTCAGTAGAGCATGGAAAACTAAAAAGTCCTTGGCTAGTGTAAGCATTACCTAGCAACAACTAAACCATCGGTGTGTTATCAACATTGTTCTCACCCTAAATCCAAAACACAGCACTGTGCCAGCTGCTAGGAAGGAAATTAACTCTATCCCAGCTGAAACCAGGACACTGTATCACAAATCTTCCTGTGTTTGGGGTAGCAGGAGCTATCGTGAGATTTAATTCCAACCCTCGGCCGTTGGCAGCCGGATCCACTCCCCTCCAGCCGGGCTGCCCGTGCCACCAACACCTGGTCTTGCTGTCATCGAAGGAAAATGGCCTTAGTGCTCTGGTTCGGTTGGCACTTTTGCAAAGCAGCTGCACTGTGGATAGACACAGCTTCATTTGCCCATCTTAGTCGTCATTTTAATGTCTTTCAGATACTAAAGTATCTAAATCTCGGTCTGTATATTTTGCAGGCGTGAGACTTTAAACGGGCAGGCCAGCGTGGCCAGGCACAGTCGGACACAGCACGAACTCCTCCGTACCGTGCCGCAGACATGCTGGGCCCAGGAGGCGGCAGGTTTTCGGGGCTCATCGAAGTGGCACAGCCAAAGCTGCTAATTGTCAGGGTTTGAAAACGAACAGAGCCATCTGCGGCCTTTCTGCAAGGGCCTGTCTTCCGCACAAATAAAAATGAACAGCGCTGAATGAATCTGCTGCCAAGAAAATACCCTGTGTGCGATACTATTGCCCGAGCGTGGCACGCACAGCTGAACGTGCAGATGAATCTCGCCCGAATTCAGCCGGGCATGGGCGGGGGCCCCTCGCCTCCGGCGATCGGGCAGTGCCACCAAGCGCGGTGGCGGCCTCGGATCTCAGCGCCGCCGGCCTGCGCCGCACGGCCCGGGAGAGGCCATGTTGGTGGGGGGACCGTGTTGGTCGAGGACCGTGTTGTTGGGGGGAACCGTGTCGCTAAGGGACCGGGGTCCGCCACGTCGCTGGGGCCGGGGTGTGGCGGGGCCCTGTTGTTGCGGGTCCCTCCCCGCGCGCGGGGCCGGGGCGGGAGCGGAGGCCGCAGCC